CGACGCTGAAAAACTGCATCGACGCAGGCGTCTTCGCTCCTGGCGCACTCCTGCGCCCTAATGGATCCGAAGTGAGAGGCGCGACACATCCGCGCAACTGCACCGTCTGCCCCGAAGCTGCGCTGAGCCACCAACTGTTCCCGGTGCTCGAACCTGGAACGAACCGCTACCCCAAGCTACACAAGGTGTACAGCGATTTCCTGAACGTGGGGCATTGCGGAGTCGAGGACGTAATGTACACGCTCACCTTCATCGACGCTGGAACACGCTACGTGTGGGTCGTAAACGTGGAGTCACGCGACAGAGCCTACGAGGTGTTTCGCCTCTGGCTGGCGCACGCAGAGCGACACTTTGGGAAGAAGCTGAAAATCTGGCAATCTGACGGCGCGGCAGAATTCAGGAGCAGCCAGATGCAAACCTACCTCACGCAAAAGGGGGTCGAGCACCACATTTCTCTCCCCTACGCGCACCAGCAGTAGGGCGTAGCTGAGCGGACGAATCGCACGCTAATGACAAAGGTGCGCACGCTTATGAAGCAGTCGAAATTGCCGCCGATCTACTGGACCTACGCAATGCACCACGCCGTGCGGGTGCACAACCTACTTTCGACCACCGCCATCACCAGCAATCTGTCCCCGCACGTCAAATGGACCGGGACCAAAGGGGATACCTTCATGCTGCGCGTATGGGGTGCATGGTTCAATACCGCCCGCCGACTTCAACCATCGGCAAATTCGCCAGCTGTGTGTGTTGGGGGATCCATCTCGGCATCAGTCACGAGTACAAGGCATGGATCATGCTGGACCTCCTCAGTCAGAAAATCGCTCACGCTCGCGGCGTCATCTTCTACGAGCGCCTCTTCCTCGACCAGTTCTGCCGCGACGAAGAAACGAACGCAAACCGCGTCTATGCGAACGATGGGCACAGCTACGCAACGACCGGAGACGAAGTCGCTGCAACAATCTTGGAGCAGGACACGAGGGGCGAGTTCGTGTGGGAAGAACGACGCAGCAGCGACGACGACGATTCCTCGGGAGGAGGAATGGGCGCAGCAGGCGGAAGCAGAACAGGCGGAAGCAGTAGAGGCACAGTACCACCAGCGCCTCCTGAACCAGAAAGCGATGACGACGATGTACAGGAAGTCATCCCGCAACGTCGCCACGGCATCACTATCTCAGGACTGCAGCTGCTCGAGCTTCACACCGCAAATTCGAAGGCGCCACGTGTCATCGAGCCCCGAAATCCGCGCGAAGCTCTTTCTGGACCACACAGCAAGGAATGGCGCGAAGCAATGTACGCAGAGATCAAGGCGCTGGAGTCACGAGACACCTGGGTGCTAGTCGACCGCGCGGCGATCAAAGGCGCAAGAATCCTCTCGGGGAAGTGAGTCTTCCACGTGAAAACCGCAGCGGATGGAACGATCGAGTGCTTCAAGGCGCATTGGGTGGTTCGCGGCTACAATCAGAGGCATGCATCGACTTCGACCAGACGTTCGCCCCAGTTAGCCGCCATACCTCCGTTCGAATCCTGCTCGCCATTGCGGCTGCAAGGCACCTACCACTCCGTCAGATCGACGTGAAGAACGCGTTCCTGTACGCGTTAGTGGACGCCGTGATCTACGTGGAACAGCCGCACACCTACGGCGGAGGGGACTCGTGCGTGTGCCAACTGCGCAAGTCACTCTACGGGATCAAACAGGCTTCGAGGCTGTGGCAGCAGTACCTGCACAACATCCTGCTTGAAATCAGATTCAAGCAGATGCCGCACGATCCAGGGATGTATCGCCGTGAATTCCGCGGGGAATGCATTCTCCTCACGGTGTACGTCGACTACCTGCTTTACACAGGCTCAAACAACGAGCTTCTCGAGCAGTTCGAGAAGGCCTTGGCGGGGCGCGTCGACATCACGTGCAACTACGAGGTGAAGCAGTTTCTAGGCCTCAACATCTCCTACGCGCCTGAGGCCATTCATCTCTCAGCGGCTAAGTACGCAAAGAAGTTAGGGAAGTGGTTCAACATTTCATCTGCACCTCTCTCAACTCCCTACCGAACTCCCGGACCGAACCACAAACCCGACAACAAACCCCTATCCCCTGCTGGGATTCAGACTTACCAGCAGCAGTTGGGATGCCTCCTCTTCGCCTCTGTCACCTGCAGGCCAGACCTCTCGTACATCGCCAGTCAGCTGGCACAGTACTCACGCAAACCAACGGCTGAGAATCTTTTGGATCTGCAGCGCGCCCTTCAGTTCTTTGTTTCAATGCCCAAGATTGGGCTGTGCTACTCAACTGCACCAACTCTATCCTTCAACCTCATCGGCTATGTGGACGCCGATCACGCAGCAGACCCCGATAATCGACGGTCCAGGACTGGCTTACTATTCCGACTCGAGCCAACGGGACCAATCTCCTGGAACTCGCAGAGGCAGGAGCTGGTTGCCCTGTCGTCAGCTTAAGCGGAATTCATCGCAGCAACCGCAACAGTTCGCGAAGGCCTCTACATGCAGGAACTCCTGCAAGAGGCGAAGATTCCAGCTTCGCCCACATTTCGCCTTCACTGCGACAACCAGAGCGCGATTCGCATCGCGAACAAACCTGGTTTCGTCAACCGCACCAAGCACATTGCGCTGCGGTACTTCTTCGTGAAGGATGAGGTGGACAAGGGCAAGGTCAATTGGACCTACTGCCCGACCGGTGACATGGCAGCAGACTTTCTCACGAAACGACTGCCACGCCAGCAGTATCAGCATTGCTCCGAACTCAGCAGCGTGGTCAAGCAGGTCAAGTCGAGCTACGGCCAGGAGTGAAGGGGGGTGTTACGAATAGTAATACTTGAATATTACTGTGCACTCCTCACCGTAGCAAAGCCGAAGCACGCACTATCGAGAGTGAAGACGAAAATCCAGAAGAAAGGCGAAGGGACAGACGGTTACGAGGAGCATCTGGACCGTCGGGCAGACAGCATCAGGCAGCAGCAGTGGCGAGGATTCTGCCCGAATAGTTACGTAACCACTCGGAGTCGCACGGTTGGATTTCGCTGCAATAAGGGAATGTACCCCTTAGAGTACATGGCTAGTTAGGTCATTTCAAATTCCCTGTACTCATGTTTATATTCCTTGTACTGCACATTTTTATTATCTCAAAGCATTTTACATTCACTCTGCTATTGAGGTCAAGGGCCCACCAACATCACTTCTCTGCGTGCGAACCTTCCTGAGTAGATCCTAGGCCACGACCAACTTCTGATCGCAGCAATCAGCACCAGTACCACCAAGCTACACTATCTCCACTGCCTTTGCACGGTGCATTTCAGATTCAATAAGAGACTGCTTATATCGAAGCATGATGAATCCCACCTGGTCCAACGCAAAGTCGATCGCGTAAGCAGCAGTGAAGATACCAATCAAGATGGAGAACACAATGTAGCCCCACTGCAATCGACGAAGTGGGGATACGGGAAGGAAGGTGGGAAAGATAAGTTAGGGGGAAGGAACATGAGAGGAAATCGAAGGAACAAAACTAATGTAGCCACTTCCCGAACAGCAACAAAATGAAGGGGGGGGGGTGGAGAACGGAGGGAGAGGAGCACTGGTTACTAACAAGCAGCAAGATATAACACACAGATTACCAGGAAGAAGAAACCAAACAGTTAACTTGTAGAGTCAACCGTGTGAAGCTACACAGCTAGGTTCATGCATTAGAAGGAAAGAAAAGAGAAGAAAACTCAAACTAACAAAAAACGGTTGCGGGACTCACATCAAGGTTGTAGCCGAACTTTTGAGGCTCCTCAAAAGACGGTTGCAGGACTCACATGGAGGTTGTAGCCGAATTGGCTGCTTGCAAGGTCAATCCCAAGGTACGTGTTGCTCCAGGCCATCGCCACAATCATGAGTCAAGCCAACCACACACTATGCACGCAGCAACTTACATCGAGGTTGTAGCCGAATCGGCTGCTAGCAAGGTCAATCCCAAGGTACGTGTTGGTCCAAGTCAATCTATGAGTCGTAGGTCATAGGCTGTAGGTCAACCCCACACCGTGAACACAACAACTCACCTCAAGGTTGTAGCCGAATCGGCTGCTAGCAAGGTCAATCCCAAGGTACGTGTTGCTCCAAGTCAATCTATGAGTCGTAGGTCATAGGCTGTAGGTCAACCCCACACCGTGAACACAACAACTCACCTCAAGGTTGTAGCCGAATCGGCTGCTAGCAAGGTCAATCCCAAGGTACGTGTTGCTCCAAGCCATTGCCACAATCGCCAGTCCCACCACCCAATGCAGCGCGAACCAATAGCGTCGCGACACGTGTCCCTTGACCGGCCTCAGCTGGCCTATGATTGGCTGGAGGACGATCAGCAGCAGCACGGCCAATCCCAGCCTGCCATGTGTCGACTGCAGGGAGCTCGTCCCTGATTGGATGAACGCCATGATGATTCCGACCAATGAGAGCACGACAGCAAGGAGCATGATCCACTTGTGGGCGTTGAATGCTTGAGGCTTGGAAATCCAGGGTTTTACAATGGTTAACCCAGGGCCTATGGCCACTGGGGTAACTGCCCCTGCAAAACCTGCTGCCCCTGCTGCTACTGGCTTTTCTCCTCCATCTCCTGCTACCCCCAGTAAAAGCCTGTCCGGTTGAACCCTGTCCAGTTCTTTGCTTCCTCGCAAAATGGGCTCAACTGACCCATCCCCTCCCTTTGCTGCTTCTTCCCTTGACACTGCTGCTGCCGCTGCATCTGCAGGCTTATCCGCCAGAAATATCCTCGATATAAGCATGGCAGCAGGCATGAGAATGCCAAACGCTATAGTGAGAATCCACCCGTGTGCTGCGTAGACTGTCTCTGGATTGGTTTTCGATTTCCCTGACTCGACTGTGCCTGTAACGAAGTTGATTCTAATGGAGCCTCTGGTGGGTGGAGGGTGGTGAGAGGGAGGGGGGAAGGAGGAAGTGGGGGATTGGTTTTCGATTTCCCTGACTCGACTGTGCCTGTAACAAAGTTGATTCTAAAGGAGCCTCTGGCGGCTAGTGAGCAGGAAATGGGGGGCGTGGGAGGTGGAGAAGGGGGGAGTGGAAGGGAGGCGAGGTGAGACAAACAGAACAGTATTGAGGCGCCTCAAAGGGAGGCGAGGTGAGACAAACACAACAGTATTGAGGCGCCTCAAAGGGAGGCGAGGTGAGACAAACACAACAGTATTGAGGCGCCTCAAAGGGAGGCGAGGTGAGACAAACACAACAGTATTGAGGCGCCTCAAAGGGAGGCGAGGTGAGACAAACACAACAGTATTGAGGCGCCTCAAAGGGAGGCGAGGTGAGACAAACACAACAGTATTGAGGCGCCTCAAAGGGAGGCGAGGTGAGACAAACACAACAGTATTGAGGCGCCTCAAAGGGAGGCGAGGTGAGACAAACACAACAGTATTGAGGCGCCTCAAAGGGAGGCGAGGTGAGACAAACACAACAGTATTGAGGCGCCTCAAAGGGAGGCGAGGTGAGACAAACACAACAGTATTGAGGCGCCTCAAAGGGAGGCGAGGTGAGACAAACACAACAGTATTGAGGCGCCTCAAAGGGAGGCGAGGTGAGACAAACACAACAGTATTGAGGCGCCTCAAAGGGAGGCGAGGTGAGACAAACACAACAGTATTGAGGCGCCTCAAAGGGAGGCGAGGTGAGACAACACAACAGTATTGAGGCGCCTCAAAGGGAGGCGAGGTGAGACAAACACAACAGTATTGAGGCGCCTCAAAGGGAGGCGAGGTGAGACAAACACAACAGTATTGAGGCGCCTCAAAGGGAGGCGAGGTGAGACAAACACAACAGTATTGAGGCGCCTCAAAGGGAGGCGAGGTGAGACAAACACAACAGTATTGAGGCGCCTCAAAGGGAGGCGAGGTGAGACAAACACAACAGTATTGAGGCGCCTCAAAGGGAGGCGAGGTGAGACAAACACAACAGTATTGAGGCGCCTCAAAGGGAGGCGAGGTGAGACAAACACAACAGTATTGAGGCGCCTCAAAGGGAGGCGAGGTGAGACAAACACAACAGTATCAATTTCTGACAATAGGAACTCTTGAGTGTGCCTCAAAAGTCGACTCTTGAGGCGCCTAAGAAACCGGGGCAGCGCAGGGGTCCGCCCAAGCATACTATAGCCATATCTTTCCCCCCCATGCCTTTGAGTCGACTCAGAAGCAGAAACCGGGGCAGCGCGGGGGCCCGCACAAGCATACTATTGCCATATCTTCTCCCCCCATGCCTGCCCACTCACTCGTTGGGCCCGTAATCGGCCAATTCCTGCGAGTCAGAGCATGAGAAGGCCTTTTGGCTTCCCATGCCTGCAACCGACTGGTTGGGCCAAGCAAGCCCCTTTCTCCCCAGCACATGCCACTCACTCATTTGGCCCGTGGTCGTCCCAATGCTGTGAGTCAGAACGAGAGAAGTCCAAGAGCACCCAAGCCCAACTTAACCATACTATAGCCCCTAACCTTCTTCCCCCCCTGCCTTGCCACTCACTCGTTGGGGCCGTGGTCGTCCAGTTGCTGCGAGTCGGAGCAAGAGAAGGCCCAGAGCACGCTGGTGCCCACCCATGCTAGCATGTCACTCACTTTTCGAACACAGAACGGATATGCCCCCCCTTTTAAGCTGGCCCACTCACTCATTTGGCCCGTGGTCGTCCAGTTGCTGCGAGTCGGAGCGAGAGAAGGCCCAGAGCACGCTGGTGGCGCCGCTGCTGCTGATGGGGACCGCTCCCACTGAGAGGGGTCGCTCGAAGCTGCAAGCGAATTGAGGATAGGGGAGAGGGTTTTCGGAAGCTAAGGGTTTTTCAGATCTGCGTTTTTTTTCACCAGTTTTCACTGTTTGTTCCTTTGCTTAAGCGTCCTCTCTGCTACTGCAGCCCTTCGAAACATGAGTCAGGGTGCAATTGTGTTGCGGGTGAGGTGAGGTGAGGTGAGGTGAGGTGAGGTGAGGTGAGGTGAAGCCACGGGGGCGCCGCTGCTGCTGATGGGGACGGCTCCCACTGAGAGGGGTCGCTCGAAGCTGCAATTGTGTGAGGTGAGGTGAAGCCACGGGGGGACAAAAAGTAGGCAGAGTTGAACAGGAGGGAGGCAAGGCGAGGCGAGAGAATGCGAAGAGCACGTTGGTGGCGCCACTGCTGCTGATGGGGACAGAACCCACCGAGAGGGGTCGCTCGAAGCTGTGGGCGGGAGGTGAAGGGTGGATAAGATGGGGGAAGGGGGAGGGGTGGTCGGGCTTAGACCATGAGAAGGCCCAGAGCACGCTGGTGGCGCCGCTGCTGCTGAATGGGACAGAACCCACTGACAAGGGGCGCTCGAAGCTGTGCGCGGGGGGGGGGGGGGAGGGGGGGGAGGGGTGGGGGTGGTGTGGAGGATGGGGGAGAGGAAGGGAGGCAAGGGTGTGCGGGCTTAGACGCTGAGAAGGCCCAGAGCACGCTGGTGGCGCCGCTACTGCTGATGGGCACGGCTCCCACCGAAACTGGCCGGTCGGAGCTGGGAGAGGTGATGGAGGATGGGGGAGAGGGGGGAGCGGGGAGGGGTGTGCGTGCTTGGACTCTGAGAAATGATGCTGCAGGGTGTCTTTGAGAATCCTCAACAACACCATGCTTAGACTCTGAGAAACACCATGCTTAGACTCTGAGAAACACCATGCTTAGACTCTGAGAAACACCATGCTTAGACTCTGAGAAACACCATGCTTAGACTCTGAGAAACACCATGCTTAGACTCTGAGAAACACCATGCTTAGACTCTGAGAAACACCATGCTTAGACTCTGAGAAACACCATGCTTAGACTCTGAGAAACACCATGCTTAGACTCTGAGAAACACCATGCTTAGACTCTGAGAAACACCATGCTTAGACTCTGAGAAACACCATGCTTAGACTCTGAGAAACACCATGCTTAGACTCTGAGAAACACCATGCTTAGACTCTGAGAAACACCATGCTTAGACTCTGAGAAACACCATGCTTAGACTCTGAGAAACACCATGCTTAGACTCTGAGAAACACCATGCTTAGACTCTGAGAAACACCATGCTTAGACTCTGAGAAACACCATGCTTAGACTCTGAGAAACACCATGCTTAGACTCTGAGAAACACCATGCTTAGACTCTGAGAAACATCATGCTTAGACTCTGAGAAACACCATGCTTAGACTCTGAGAAACACCATGCTTAGACTCTGAGAAACACCATGCTTAGACTCTGAGAAACCCCAGAGCACGCTGGTGGCGCCGCTGCTGATCGATCGGGACCGCACCCACTGAGAGTGGGCGCTCGAAGCTGGGGGCGCGGGGGGGAGGTAAGGATGGGGGATGGGGAGAGTGGGAGGGGTGCGCTGTGCTCTCCTGGTGGCGCCATTGCTGCTGATTGGGACCGATTCCACTGAGAGGGGCTGCTCTAAGCTGGGGTGAGGATAGGGGTGGGATCAGGTTGGGGTAGGGGAAGGGAAAGGACCAAGGGAAAGGCATGATCTGGCCTGAGATCGCCCAGAGCACGCTGGTGGCGCCATTGCTACTGATGGGGACGGTTCGCACCGTGAGGGAGGGGTGGCTTGGAGCTGCAGTTGCATTGCAGGTGTGGTGCAGAGGGAAGGAATGAAATGGGGAGAGATGGAAGTGAAGAAAGAGAGGCGAGGCAAGAGAAGGCCCAGAGCACGCTGGTGGTGCCGCCACTGCTGCTGCTGCTGCTGATGGGGGAGGGGACTGAACTGAACACACTGCGAGGGGGCGTTCAAACACTGAATCCGACTGCTCAGGCTGGATAAGGAAATCTGAAAAACACCCCACACTCACGTGATTGTTGTTCGGCCATTTGCTGTGGTGGTCGTCGTGTTGGTCAGCTCGAACGATGACGTCAGCGCCACGTCAGACAGGCCGTAGCCGCTCATGTGATAGGCTCCCACCGCCGCCCCGTTGGCAAGAGTGCCAGGTGGCAGATTCCCAATGGCTGCGTCAGCGGGGTACATCTTGCTGCTCTTGGACCATCCGATCGCCACCCAACCAGACGTCGCCACGTCAGCAGCCATTGCTACTGTGTTTGCCCCGGTCTTCCAATGGAGGATGAAACTGGAAAAAAGGGAGGGCAAGAAGGGGGTGAGGGGAGAGATGGGGGAGAGCAAGGGCAGGAAAGGGCGTCAAGAAATCACTCCAGCAGCCATAGCTACTGTGGTTGCCCCCAGCTTTCTAATGAGGATGAACCTAACAGGAGTCGTGAAGTGGATGGGGGGAGAAAAGAGAAGGGGGGCGGATTGCTGAGAGTGACTTTTGAGAATTCTCAAAAGTCACTCCCATATAGATGGGGGGGAGAAAAGAGAAGGGGGGGGGATTGCTGGTGAACGGGGGGGGCAGGAAGGAGCAATGGGGGGAGAGAATAAGGGTGGGGAGGATTAAAATCAAGAATTTGAGTGCAGGCTGCAGAAAATATGTGATTGTAATGAGGGCTGGTGCACGTAGCACGTAGATGTGATACTATCTGTGTCTATGAAAACAGTATGAGGAGGGATGGGCGAGGTGAAAAGCATGTGAGTGGGTGGGATGAGTTTTGAGACACTTTTTGAGACACCTCCAAACATGTGCATTTCTGAGGCGTCTCAAAACGTGTAGACCGTGACACACTATCTGCGTGCATGATTCTATTCTGAGAGGAATGGGCAAGGTGACGAGGAAATGAGTGGGGTGTCCGTTAGCTGATTAAGAAACATTCCAGAGAGCAGCAGTTTAAGGGAGAAGGTATAGCAAAGGTGAAAACAGTTGTAGTATGAGCAAGGAGGAATGGGCAAGGCGACGAGGATATGAGTGGGGTGTCCGTTGTGGCTGCGAGGGGGCGGGTGGTGTGGTGGTATGAGAAACCAGCTTGATTATTCTTCACTGCCCCTCCACTCACCACTGCCCCTCCACTCACTCTCTCCCTTTGAGCTGCACGGAGCAGGCATATCCCAGCAGAGTGGACGGCTGGCACGCCTGGTTAGCACTCCCAGACGCAGCAGCAGCAGCAGCAGCAGCTAATAATGTGACTTCTGAGTCGACCAGACAGCCACTTTTTCCTCTCACTCACTCTTTTCCTTTGAGCTGCACGGAGCAGGCATATCCCGGCCCGGCAGCGTGGACGGCTGGCACGCCTGGCTGCCAGAGTGCTTTGTCCTGGCTTGGCTTGGATACACCAAGAACAACAACAGCTTGCCTTGCAGAGGTCACTCACTCTTTTCCCTTGAGCTGCACGGAGCAGGAATAACCCGGCAGGGTGGACGGCTGGCACGCCTGGCTGCCACTCCCAGACGCAGCAGCTGCTGCTGACGTGGACCCCGATGATTGGTTCTCATCTTCCTCCTCTTCACCATCATCATCGTCGTCGTCATCATCATCATCATCATCACCCCCATTGCCGTCGTCATCATTGTCGTCATCATCTGAGCTTGAGGTGCCAGCAGCAGGTGCAGTCTGACACGTGAAGTCCACATTCATTGAACCTCTGGTTGTTGGGGTTGGGGGGAACGGGGAGAGGGAGGGGGGGGGGGAGAAGACGGTGGCATAAGGGCAGGCGCACTCATTGAGTCTGACACGCAGGTGCAGTCTGACACGTTGAGTCCACATTCATTGAACCTCTAAAACTCACTCTCTCCCATATGCATTCATAAAAACTCTGAGCCTCACTCCTTGCCATCTACACTACATTCATCCAACCTCAATGCCTCACACGTTGTTGCCGTGAAAGGACGTGTAGATAGATTATTTTTAAGACTGAGACTCACTCCTTGCCATCTACACTACATTCATCCAACCTCAATAACTCACACGTTGTTGCCGTGAAAGGCCAGCTCAGTGGATTGAGGTCGTTTTTGAGGCGCCTCAAAAACGACCTCCTTGCCATCTACACCACATTCATCCAACCTCAATAACTCACGCGTTGTTGCCGTGAAAGGCCAGCTCAGTGGATCCAGACTCAGAGAATACTCAGAGAAATCTAGTTTAGAGGCGCCTCAAAACTCTGAGCCTCACTCCTTGCCATCTACACTACATTCATCCAACCTCAATAACTCAGACGTTGTTGCCGTGAAAGACCAGCTCAGTGGATCCAGACTCAGAGAAAGCCCAGATGAGGCTGTTGGTGCCGCTGAAATTTACCCAAATCCCTCCCCCCCCCCCCCCCCGCCTCCTCTTCTCCTCACCCACTCCTTCTCCTCACCCACTCCTTCACTCACTCCCTCCTTCACTCACGCATTGTTGCCGTGAAAGGCCAGGTCAGTCGATCCAGACTCGGAGAAGGCCCAGATGAGGCTGTTGGTGCCAGTGAAGCTGACTGGTACGGCCCCTCCGTCCCCTTCTGACCGGGCGAACCTGCAGATAGGAGGGGGTGGGTTGGTGGGATAGGGGTTGAGGAGGAGTGAGGTTGGGAGGAAAGGGAGGGAACCCAGATGAGGCTGTTGGCGCCAGTGAAGCTGACTGGTACGGCCCCTCCGTCCCCTTCTGACCGGGCGAACCTGCAGAGCAGGCAGGAGGGGAGAAGAGAGTGCGTTGGAAGGGGAAAAGCCCAGACGATGCTGCTGCTGCCACTGAAGATCACTGGTATGGGCCCTCTGTCTCCTTCTGATTGAGAGAACCTGCAAGCAGGAGAGGGTTGGTTGGAGAAGGTTTGAGGTGGACCTACGTAGCCTTGGGACAGTAAGAACCTGTGGGCAGGAGCAGGAGGACCAGAAAGTGAACACGTAGGAAACTTTTTAGTCGACTAAACAACCGCCTCATCACTTACGTAGTCTTGGGATAGAAAGAACCTGCGGGCAGGAGCAGGAGGAGCAGGAAGAGCAGAAGGATCAGCAGGAGCAGGAGGAGCAGGAAGAGCAGAAGGATCAGCAGGAGCAGGAGGAGCAGGAAGAGCAGAAGGATCAGCAGGAGCAGGAGGAGCAGGAAGAGCAGGAAGAGCAGAAGGATCAGCAGGAGCAGGAGGAGCAGGAAGAGCAGAAGGATCAGCAGGAGCAGGAGGAGCAGAAAGAGCAGAAGGATCAGCAGGAGCAGGAGGAGCAGGAAGAGCAGAAGGATCAGCAGGAGCAGGAGGAGCAGGAAGAGCAGAAGGATCAGCAGGAGCAGAATCAGCTGAAGAGCTGTTGGAGCAGGAGCAGGAGAGCAATCATAAGCAGCAGAGGGAACACCATATCAATCGTACAGGCCTCTACCATACCCCTCACTCACCTCATGCCACTATCCTCACCTCATAATTGTGCCGCCACCATTACTCGCAGCTGTCAACTCAGGCGTCCCAATCGAGAACCCATCAGAAGGCGCCACGTCAGACTGGCTGTATCCGCTGATGTGATACGCGCCGACGCTGCTTCCCGGAAGGTTCCCGACCACGCAATCCGCGGGGTACATACGGCCGCGGTTTGCCGTTCAGCCGACGGAGAACCAGCCGGCCTCGGCCCCACTGGCGGGTTTGGCTTCTAGCGCGAACTGCAGGCGCGAGGCGTTGAGGGTCCAGTGCAGCACGAGGCTAGGGGGAGAGAGAGACGGGGGAGGGAGCGTGGGGAGACAGTGGGGACAGGAGGGTAAGGAGGGGGGAAGGAGAGGGGAAATGGGGAAGAGAACGGGAGGTTGGGGATGGGCAAGAGGGAAGAGAGTGAACAATGGACGGAGAACCAGCCGGCCTCGGCCCCACTGGCGGGTTTGGCTTCTAGCGCGAACTGCAGGCGCGAGGCGTTGAGGGTCCAGTGCAGCACGAGACTGGGGGCAGGGGGTTGGGAGGGGGGACGGGGGGTGGAGTGGGGTGGAGGGAGGAGGTTGGGGGAGGGGGAATGTGCGGAAGGATTAGGGTCGTGCGAGTTGGAGCTCCAGGCATTATTAGCCTTGCGCGCGTGCAGCACGAGACTGGGCGTGGGGGAGGGGTGGTTGGGGAAGGCGGAGATGGAAGGGGAGGAAGAGGTGTGAGGGGGGGGGGGGAAGAGGGGGGGAGAGAGGAGGGGGGAGGGGGCCCCCCGGGGGGGAGAGAAGGATGGGGTTGGTGGAGGCGAGATAACTGACTACAGGTTCAAACGAGAAAAGGGATGAGGATCCATCCCAGAAACAGGCCTATTGAACTAGAGGTGCAGCCAGGTTTATTCGCGTTTCTTAGACGACCCGTTGTCTAAGAAATATATTCATATATCAGATTACCCGTCGTTCCGTTGAGTCAACGCGAGTCAAGTCAACGAATCCCGGAATCAAGTATTGCACATTGCACGACCTGGCGGCGCATGAACCCACACTTGACCGAGTGATTCATCGCAATCTAAGCGGGTGCTTTCAATTTGTTTCCGTACGTTAATCAAGTCATTTACACACGGCGACTCACCCGTTTCCCGACAGATCTACGGAATTGGCGAAGCCTGGTAGGGACGACGGTTCGCAAGACGACGCGTGATCTACGGAAGCACCGACCACCAGGAGGAGCATGGCACGTGTTAGCCACGCTTCGACAACATGCACCGTTGATCTAGTCATGGCGAGTCGCCGGGTTCGTGGTTTCGCAGATCGATCCATTGAAGGGCAACCTAGAGGAGATTGTTACAAAGCGAATTAAGAATGCGGACCAAGTCGCAGCTGGTAGTTAGTAATTGTAACTTTCGCCGTGTTTCCCTTTGCAATGCAGCACTAAAATGCGCGACTCTACAGCACGCCGCTCTAGTGAAGCCCCCTTTACGTATACCTGGGGAATAAGGGCTCGAAACTCTACCGAGCGCGGCGACATAGCACCGTGTGCGGCTGGCTTCATGGCTACGTGAGGTGTCTGGTCTGGAGACTGAGGGTACGACCTGGGGAAGGCGGGATCTGTTAGGATCTAGACCAGTAATTGAAGGAAGGTGCATAATGTCGTGCTGGTTTGGGTTAGTCGTGGGTTCAGTTGGGTTGAGTGGGTACGGGCCGTACGAGGAGAGGTTGTGAGCGTTTATCTTCGCTCAATACCATACCCAACCGTTCTAGAATGTTATTTGAAAGTGGGATTGCAAAGAGCATCGCACTGATGAGCTGCAAAGACATCTGGGCGGTGGCGGTGCGGCTTCATCGAGGGAGGTTGAATTGACTGTGTGAAGTGCGTGGCAGCGGAGGCGATGCGCGTGCAGAGTGGTAATTGGCTGTTGCCAGCGAAGCGGATGGGCATGTGCCCCTAACCACAAATGACCAAAGCGACCCGGGTCCTGAAGGCTTTGACACATGTTACAGATAACGTCGGTGGTGTTTGATTGGACAGCAGTAGCGTCGCGCACTATCAATGGTTCTCCTCCAGCGTTGGATGCATACCACACGCAAAAAGATCGACGGCCTTGTCTTCCCATCGCTCGTCCCGTAGAGGCTGTTTCTCTATATATTCTTGATGTATGTTCCCTTTCACCATGTCTCTAAGGATTTTTGGGTTGCGTAGCAACCTTATACGTTCGTTTTCACTTTTCGGTTGACTGATGTGAACAGTGATTTTCTTCCCAAAAAATGGAAAAAAAAAATCACTGTTTACATAAGTTTCCCGAAAAATGGAAACAAATGTGTCCAATCATTCCATTATCGTCGATAAGTACGGCGAATGGAACAATTGGACAATCTCTTAGCACAAATAATGTAACGATACGAAACACAATCATAGGCAAACTTCTACAAGTGAAAAAAAGAAAACAAAACATGCAAAATTGTACGGAAGAGGCAGGTAAAGCTGCCTCACCGACCACCACAACAACTCACGTTGCATACACGAGGCACTTAGCACCACACCCCAAAGCAGTCACAAACGACAGCACACGAACTTGTACAAAAACGAGGGACAAAAGTTGTGAATGCTTCGAAGCTAATGCTAAAATGCATCATTGATGCAACTGAGATTGATCTGGTATGGAAGAGGCAAGCAAAGCTGCCCCACCAACGATCACAACCCCAATTGCATACACGAGGCACTTAGCACTCACCCCGAAACAGACACAACAACACTACATACATATATGCACACACACATATGCTCACACATACGCAGACAAAAAAAAAAAAAAAAAACGTATAGCTAATACTAAAGCATGCAAGCATAGCCAATTAAGTTCACCAATTAATAAGCCATCACTAACTTGTCCCCCATTCCCCTCCCTCCCTCCCCCCCTCCCTGGTCTCCCATCCCCACCCAGCCCTCCTTTTCTCTCCACGATAAACAATGATTGCAGGGTAAACTTCCTGCACAGGAAAGAAATAACAGCAAATGCAGCTCTCACTCCCTGCACACAGTGACAAACAAGCAAACAAACACAGATACCGTAATAAACACGCAACCATCCATATGAAATTCAGAAGTGCATAAATCCCCGCTAGCCTATTCCCCTTTACCCTCCCTAGACCGCTCCGTCCCTCCTTCCCTCATCTCCCTTCTCAGCTCACACGCCCTGCACAAGAAAAAACAGAGAAGCCAGCACACACACGCCCTGCACAAGCAAAAACAGCACACACACGCTCTGCACAAGCAAAAACAGCACACACACGCTCTGCACAAGCAAAAACAGCATACACACGCCATGCACAAGCAAAAACAGCACACACACGCCCTGCACAAGCAAAAACAGCACACACGCCCTGCTCAAGCAAAAAAATCACACACACGCCCTGCTCAAGCAAAAACAGCACACACACGCCCTGCACAAGCAAAAACAGCACACACACGCCCTGCACAAACAAAAACAGGGAAGTCAACATCTTAGAAGCCGGCGCCCTAAGCACTAGTGCAGAAAGCGACACGCGTTTGCATAAGTAGTTCGCATAAGCGACACACACTAGTGCATGAGCACTTTGCAGCGTGCTCATGAAGCTCTCTCATGCGCTCTCTCATGCGCTCTCTCACGCGCTCTCTCACGCGCTCTCTCACGCACTCTCTCACGCGCTCTCTCACGGGCTCTCTCACGCACTCTCTCACGCGCTCTCATGCACTCTCTCACGCACTCTCTCACGCGCTCTCTCACGCGCTCTCTCACGCGCTCTCTCACACGCACTCTCACGCGCTCTCTCACGCGCACTCTCACGCGCACTCTCACGCGCACTCTCATGCGCTCTCACCCGCTCTCTCACGCGCTCTCTCACGCGCACTCTCACCCGCTCTCTCACGCGCTCTCTCACCCGCTCTATCACGCGCTCTCTCACGCGCTCTCATGCGCTCTCTCACGCGCTCTCACACGCCCTCTCATGCTCTCTCCCTCTCTCGCGCTCACTCACGCGCTCTCTCACACGCTCTCTCACGTGCTCTCTCACGCACTCTCTCACGCGCCCTCTCATGCTCTCCCTCACTCGCTCTCTCACGCGCTCTCTCTCGCGCTCACTCACGCGCTCTCTCACGAGCTCTCACACGCACACTCTACTCTCATGCGCACTCTCATGCGCTCTCACCCGCGCTCTCTCATGCGCTCTCTCACACGCACTCTCACGCGCTCTCTCACGCGCACTCTCACGCGCACTCTCACGCGCACTCTCATGCGCTCTCACCCGCTTTCTCACGCGCTCTCTCACGCGCTCTCTCACGCGCACTCTCACGCGCTCTCTGACGCGCACCCTCAGCCGCTCTCTCACGCGCTCTCTCACGCCCTCTCTCACGTCCTCTCTCCCACGCACTCCCTCACGCGCTCTCTCACGCGCACTCTCACACGCTCTCTCACGCGCACTCGGACTCTCACGCGCTCTCTCACGCGCTCTCTCACGTGCTCTCTCACGCGCTCTCTCACGTGCTCTCTCACGCGCTCTCTCACGAGCACTCTCACGCGCACTCTCCTGAGCGTTCGCTCCCACGCACACACTCTCCCTCGCGCTCCGTCTCTCCTTTTCTTCAAATGAAAGTGCAATGCAAGAGGAGACCAATCGACAAACAAAATGTACACATAGAGCAAAAAAAAAGGGGCAGGGGGGACCGGAAATATCAGAGGGGGGAGGGAGGATGAAAGGACCGGGAACGCACCTGATAACCACGGTGCCTCAGAAAACAGCCCGCGCTGGCGCACCAACCCGCGCTCGCGCACCCGCGCACGCACCAACCCGCGCTCGCGCACCGACTTGCGCTTGCGCTCGTGCACTCGCCGGAGGCGACGGCTGGGAGGGAAGGAGAGGCGACGGCGGGGAGGGAAGGAGAGGCGACGGCGGGGAGGGAAGGAGAGGCGGCGGCTGGGAGGGAAGGAGAGGTGACGGCGGGGAGGGAAGGAGAGGCGAAGGCGGGGAGGGAAGGAAAGGCGACGGCAGGGACGGAAGGAGAGGCGACGGCACGGACGGAAGGAGAGGCGACGGAGGGGAGGGAAGGAGAGGCGACGGCGGGGACGGAAGGAGAGGCGACGACGGGGATGGAAGGAGAGGCGACGGCGGGGAGGGAAGGAGAGGCGACGGCGGGGAGGGAAGGAGAGGCGACGGCGGGGAGGGAAGGAGAGGCGACGGCGGGGAGGGAAGGAGAGGCGACGGCGGGGAGGGAAGGAGAGGCGACGGCGGGGAGGGAAGGAGAGGCGACGGCGGGGAGGGAAGGAGAGGCGACGGCAGGGACGGAAGGAGAGGCGACGGCGGGGAGGGAAGGAGAGGCGACGGCGGGGAGGGAAGGAGAGGCGACGGCGGGGAGGGAAGGAGAGGCGACGGCGGGGAGGGAAGGAGAGGCGACGGCGGGGAGGGAAGGAGAGGCGACGGCAGGGACGGAAGGAGAGGCGACGGCGGGGACGGAAGGAGAGGCGACGGAGGGGAGGGAAGGAGAGGCGACGGCGGGGACGGAAGGAGAGGCGACGGCGGGGACGGAAGGAGAGGCGACGGCGGGGAGGGAAGGAGAGGCGACGGCGGGGAGGGAAGGAGAGGCGACGGCGGGGAGGGAAGGAGAGGCGACGGAGGGGAGGGAAGGAGAGGCGACGGCGGGGAGGGAAGGAGAGGCGACGGCGGGGAGGGACGGAGAGGCGACGGTGGGGAGGGAAGGAGAGGCGACTGCAGGGAGAGAAGGAGAGGCGACGGCGGGGAGGGACGGAGCGGCGACGGCGTGGAGAAGGGAGGGGCGGCGGCGGGACAGGATGGAGTGGCGGCGGTGGGATGGGAGAAGAGGGCAGCGGGATGGGAGGGAGTGGCGATTGCGAGGTGAGGGAGAGGCGACGACGGTGTGGCGGCGGGATGGGAGGGAATGGTAACGGCGGGGTAGGAGGGAGGTGCGACGGGATAAGAGGGAGAGGCGACGGTTGGGTGTTCGTAAAACGCGATAGCTGGATGATTGGCAGAGAGAGCAGGCACAGGAGGAATTCGAGGGAACCAGGTATGACAGACTTTGAATTGACAGCTGGGAAGGGAAAGAGCAGAGTAGAGCAGGTGCTCAAATTCAAGAAACCTAGTCAGCGGAGAATTCGAGTTGACAGCGAAAGAAAAAGGAAGGATATGTGGCGCTGGCAATGAAACATTTGCTACCCGGTGTATATCTCAAATACCAAAAGTGGTTGGGAAGTGTGGCGCTGGTAGGAATGTTTTGCAAAACGAGGCAAGAAACGGTTTTTAAAATGAGTGTCCAGTACTATGCTGATGGGGCGAATTGCGAGCTAGTCGCGGGCGAATTGCAAGCAGAATTCGTAAGCGAAAGTGGAGGGGTAAGACGATGAGGCGAATTGCACGCTGGATTCGAGGGCGAATTTCAACAGAACCTGGGCACATGACAAACCAAACAAAAAAAACCCACACACTACTGTGAAATGAATAAGCAGGAATGAAATGACTAAGTCTGAATTGGGTACAAATAGCAAACCCTAGGAATCAGTACCCCATATGTGCTACCCCACTATAGCCTACAAACATGCATCAGCTATAATGTTCTGACACACCCCCATAGGCAAAGTGGGGGAGAACAAGGGGTCACAAGACCAGTCAAGCAAAGCAAAGCAAAGCAAGCTCAGGGTGGATCACAAAGTCACCACACAGTCCGAGCACAAGAGCAGGGCCAGAGGCCAGTTCACATGCAGGAGTACAGACATATATATATAAAACTAGACAAGCAGGAGCAGGTATATATATGTCACAGTACAAGTGAAGTCAGGAAGAGAGCAAGTGAGGCAAGACAGGCACAAGACCCAGCTGGGTGCAGAAGCGCTGATGGTCACAAGGCGCGAGTGCCTTGGTGAACACATCAGCAGTGTTGGCCTCAGAGGCCACGTACGCAAGTCGCAACTGACCACGCTGCTGCAGCTCACGAGCAAGGAAGTAGCGGAGAGCAATGTGCTTCGTTCTGTGCTCCAGACGCTGCTCTCGACACAAGGCCAACATGGCCTTGTTGTCTACGTACAGCACTGGAGGAGAACGAGGCGGCTCTCCAAGGTCACTCAGCAGGTAGGTGAGCCAGCGAAGCTCCTGTGCAGCCATGGCCCCGGCGTAGATCTCAGCCTCACAACTGGAGCCGAGAACCGAAGACGAGCGAGTAGACCGCCACGAGACAGAGCCGGAACCAAGGCTGAAGGTGTAACCCTGTGACGACCGCTGCGTAGCCTGGTCGTCAGCCCAAGAAGCGTCCGCATGGCCTGTAAGGACCACTGGACTCCGCCCTCCAAGCACTAGCCCCATGCCCGACGTACTGCACAGGTAGCGCAATACCCTCTTCGCTGCAGCCATGTGCTCTGGTCGGTGTCTCCCAGGAGCAACATAGCGTGCAAGAATGCTCAGAGGGTATGCAAGGTCAGGTCGTGTGCAGGTCATCAGGTACATGAGGCAGCCAACAAGCTCTGCATACGGACCACTCGACTCTACGGACTCATCCGAAGGCAGAGCTGAGAGTGAGTGGCGAGTAGGCAGAGGAGTGGCCTGAGGCGAGGAGTACGTGAAGCCGAAGCGCCGAAGGACCTGCTGCACCATGTGTGACTGAGTCAGGGTAATGGTGCGGCGTGCTCTGTCCCGAGTGATCTACAAGCCAAGGTAGCTGCGCAGTTCACCCAGGTCTGTGCACGTGTGTCTCTTCAGCAGCTCGGACTTCACGTAGGCGAGTCCAGCAGTGTCCGCTGTGGCAAAGACCAAGTCGTCGACGTACACGAGGATGTAGAACGGCGGCAGGGAAGTGTCGGTGCGAAGAAACAGCGACGGGTCAGCAGTAGAAGGAGCAAACCCAAAAGCCGCAAGCGTAGTCCTCAGTGTGTCGTGCCACTCACGCGGTGCCTGGCGGAGACTGTAGACTGGCCGTCGGAGGCTCCACTGGGTGCCAGGAGGGAAAGTCCCAGTGAAGCCAGGCGGACGGCGCAGCCAGATCTCCTCGTGCAGGCTACCCTGCAGGAACGCAGTGCTGAAGTCGAGAGAGTGAAGCTCGTAGTCGCGCTGAGCGGCGATGTGCAGCAGTACCTGAAGAGTGGTCATCTTCGGGGTGGGGGAGAAGGTCTGAAAGTAGTCAACTCCCTGCCGCTGACTAAAGCCACGAGCCACGTAACGCGCCTTGAAGACAGGCGGAGAGCCCGGCGGCCGCTTCACCCTGAAGATCCACATGCCACTGACGATGTTCGCCCCAGGAGGGGGAACCGCGTCAACGTAGGTGCCTGTGGACTTCCAGGAAGCCATCTCTGCATCCATAGCTGCCTGCCACTGAGAGGAGTAGGGACCCTCTACGGCCTCCGCGTAAGAGCGCGGAGTCGGGATGTCTAGTGCATCCGGGTTTCCCTCAGGGGCAAGCAGTACAGACGCGAGATGAGGTGAAGCAGCCGCTAGACACTGTAACTCCTCCTGCCTGTCCTCTAGGACGTCCGTGCCAAGAGCACACTCAACCCCGACGGACGGAGGACAGACACACACAGACTCAGCAACAAGACTAGTAGCGTAGTCTAAGCGACAGCGAGCAGCAAAGTCGACGAGCTCAGTGACTAGGGCAGACGCAGCAGAAGACTCGAAGGAAGGGTTAGTGACCACAGTAGCAAGGAAACGCGTGACAGTAGGACTGGCAGCACGAAGAGAGTCCGACGCAGGGTCGGCAAGCGCAGGAAGAGAGGACTCAGGAGGAGAAGGCAAAGGGGCACGCAGAGGAGCAGTGGACGGACGAAAAGACATCTGGTGCGTGCCAGGGACAAGAGGAGGACGCTGACGCGAACCGCGACCACTAGCGCGAGCACGACGAACAGGCGACGCGGGACGAGACGCAGGCTCACGGCGCTCAGCAAGACCCCCAGTAGGACCAGTGTAAGGAGAGGGAGCAGGCAGTGGAGAGGAGGGCTCCAGGCGGGACTGCGACTGGACAGGTGGTGGACCCGCTACTGGAGGAGAAAGACCAAGAACCTGCTGCAGGAGCGGAACGAAGTACGGTCGAGGCCGTGCAGCAGCTCCAGACACAGCAGGGACAGCACCAGCACCCTCAGCGACAGTACCAGCGCCACCAACACCTCCAGCGGCAGGACCAACAGCACTGGTCTCAGCACCAACACCCTCAGCAGCTCCAGCTCCAGGAGGACCCGCAGGCCCAGCAGCTCCGCGACCGGCAGTACCAGCACCCTCGTCGGTCGAAGAAGCTCCAGCTCCAGCTCCAGCAGCACCCCCAGACTCAGCAGCACGCCTCCAGCGGTGAGCGAACCAGTCGCGCAGCTCCTGTGGAGAGAGGGGCTCTCGGCGAGGCGGAGCAGCAGGAGAAACCCCAGGCCCAGGAGCTCCAGACGTAGCTCCCCCAGGCTCAGTAGCTCCCAACTCAGCACCCCCAGGCGCAGCAGCTCCCAACTCAGCACCCCCAGGCTCAGCAGCTCCCGACTCAGCACCCCCAGGCTCAGCAGCCCCCGACACAGCACCCCCCAGCTCAGCAGCTCTAGGCACAGTACCCCCCGGCTCAGCACCCCCAGGCTCAGCACCCTCCGCAGTAGCACCCCCAGGCGCAGCACCCCCAGGCTCAGCACCCCCAGGCTCGGCACCCCCGCGTACAGCACCCCAAGAGTCAGCACCCCCAGGCTCAGCACCCGCAGCAGCACCAGAGTCACCAGTAACCTCGACCGGGTCACGTGCGTCTACCTGGGACACACCTGAGGGAGCAGGAACCTGAGGGGGAAGGGGGTCTACCGGGGGGGGAACCGGCACAAGGAAGTCCGGGGGAGGGGGGGGGGGAAGGAGTGCGGTAGGGGAAGAGACGGTAGAAGGGGACGGACTCGTCGAACGTGACGTCCTGGGAGGACAGAACACGACGAGAGGAGGGGTGGTAGAGTTGCCACCCTGGGGCGTCAGTGGGGAAGCCAAGGAAGACACAGGGAGCAGCACGAGGGGACAGCTTGTTCGCAGACAAGTCGCGGACAAACGCCCGAGATCCCCAGACACGGAACGCAGACGCATCGCCAACCTTCCCTGTCCACAGCAGGGCTGGGGACATCGCAGGCCTAGAGACCCGCGGGTGAAGGTTGAGCTGATGCGCCGCGTACCTCACCGCAAACGGCCACAGAAAATGGGGGGCAGCCGCATGCATCATGGACGTACGAGCGACATCCATGACCATGCCAATGCGGCGCTCAGCAATCCCATTTTGCTGTGGTGAGTCCGGAAGCGTGAAGGTCTGGCGGATCCCCCGTGCACGACAGTAGTCTCGCAGAAGGCGCGAGGAGAACTCTCCGCCTCTGTCCGAGTGCAGACGCAGAACAGGAAAGTCCGAGCCGAAGCTCTTCCTGAGCTGGAGACGAGCCTCGCTGATCCAGTCGATCAGCACCTCAGTGACAGCACCCTTGCTGCGCAAGGGGAGGACTGTGGTGTAACGCGAGTAGTCGTCAACCACTAACAGGAAGTAGCGCTCGTAACCCTGTCCACGGACGGGGGCTGGGCCCCACACATCCATGTGAAGCGTCTGCAGGGGAGCCTCTTTCGGGGGGAAGTGGGAGGAGTGAGGATTAGCCCGGAGGCGACCCTCGACACAGGGGACACAGGGAGGCCCTGGCCCGGAGGGGAGAGGAGGGAGAGACTGGGGAAGACCAGAGACAAGGACACGGGAAGCCATGCTCCGAAGACGGGACAAGGAGGGGTGGCCAAGACGGTGGTGCCACAGGAGAGTCTCGTGAGACAGGAGGCGACAGGAACAGGGGGCAGACTCAAGACCTGACCGGGACGCAGCAGCAAACACCTGACCTGACGCATCCTGTAGGGCTGCACCACTAACCAAGTTCGTAGAGAACGAGGGAAGGTACAGACCAGACAGGGTGCCCGAAGGGGCAGCCGGACACGGGAGGACAGTGGAAAAGTGAGACAGGACAGGACCCCCAGAGGGGTCAGCAAGGGAGACCGCAACCGGTCGGCCAAGCGGCGTGAGGGTAGTGCGGTCTCGAAAGAAGGAGCGAGAAGCCCCAGAGTCAAGTGTGAAGGTGAGGGAGGACGAGGGCGACGCAGTACCTGAGAGCGCAGTCTCACTAGAACCTGAGAGCTCAGTCTCACCAGTACCTGAGAGCGCAGACGCACTGGCACCTAGAGCAGCAGCCTCACAAGCACCTAGCGCAGCTGTACCAATGCCCGGGTCGGGCTGGAAACACCGGTAACCCTCATTCTCCTCACTATAAATCACAGCATACATAGCAGCAAGGATAGCATCAAAATCAAGGTCAAAGATCGCTACACCAGCCCTAAGGAGCTCATCCCAGCGAGGGATCTCACTAGCCCCGGGGAACTGCTGACGCCAAGCGTCCGTCAGGCGGCCAAAGCAGCGCTGGGTGGAGTGGGCACCCCCACACTGCTCACCCGCGCGGTCGCCGGAACGAAGAACGTAGGTGCAGGGACCAGTACCCCCACCCCTCTGACGCCCAGCGTACCACTCACGAAGCTGCTGAGGCGGAGGGATGTCCCGCGAG